GTTTCTTATAGGTGCTGAGAGTTTGGCACTGTGGTCTAAACCACTGAGCCTCTTGCTGATCAGATGTTTGGCGGTTCAAATCTCCCCGCGATGGAGTGAGCTCCTGTTGTTCTGTCCCAGCTCGAGTCCTGCCAACCTAGCAGTTTGAAAGCACACCAGTGCAAGTAGATAAATAGGTACCGCTGCGGCGGGAAGGTAAACACCGTTTTGTGCGCTCTGGTTTCCTTCATGGTGTTCCGTTGCGCCAGAAGCGGTTTAGTCATGCTGGCCACGTGACCTGGAAAGCTGTCTGTGGACGAACGCTGGCTCCCTCAGCCTGAAAGCAAGATAAGCGCTGCAACTCCATGGTCGCCTTTGACTGGACTTAACTGTCCAGGGGTCCTTTACCTTTACCTTTTACCTAGGGGACCCCTATTCCCCTCACAAAGCTACAATTCTCAGAGTCCCCTGGTCTCCTGCCCCACAACGTGATAACTGCACACTGACTGTCCAGACAGGGCTCTGGTTGCAAATTCCACTTGTACAAATGGTTATTTCTGAATATTATGAACATTCTGAAACAGAGCTTTAATTTCTCCAAAAACATGATCCTAAGAGATGGGAAAGAAATCTCATGTTATAAGAGTTGTGGAGGCTGAGAACTATATTTAGCCATTTCTGTCCCTGGTGTAAGAAAAACAAGCTGCTGGTGAGAATCTGGCCACAATTTCATTCTTTTCAATGTTGCTGCTTTCTCTTATCGCCCTCTTTTTGGGATTCCTGATACTTCCTACTCTTCCATGTTTCTGAAGAAAGTCAGATTTTCTAGTGATGTGACAAAAGGAGAGGTACAGGAAAATGCAGGGTGATGGTGATGATAATCAGATGGCATCGTTACTGGGATGCTCTGTAAAAAGTGAATTAAATACCATGGAAGCCTTGCAACTTGAATGTTTTGGCTCCAAAATGCCGCATAACCAGAAGTGAATGTTCCGGTTTGCGAACATTCTTTGCAACCCGAACATCTGCAGCTAATCAGAAGCTGTGCCTTGGTTTCCAAACGTTTTGGAAGTCAAACAGACTTCCGGAACAGATTCCGTTTGACTTCCAAGGTACGACTGTATGGCAGTTCTACACTAAATGTGCAATGTGGAAACACTTTTGGAGACATAAGTAATTTAGCAGGTGGGTTTGAAGATAATGCATTTAGAGCACATCAAAGCCACATTTAAAACGTGTGACTGCCCCGTTAGAATCCTGGGAACTGTAGTTCCCCATACAGTTCTTAGCAGCCTTAACAAACTACAGCTCCCAGGGCTCTTGGAGGGAAGTAAAGATAAAGGGACCCCTGACCATTAGGTCCAGTCGTGGCCAACTCTGGGGTTGCAGCACTCATCTTGCTTTATTGGCCAAGGGAGCTGGTGTACAGCTTCCGGGTCATGTGGCCAGCATGACTAAGCTGCTTCTGGCAAACCAGAGCAGCACACGGAAACACTGTTTGCCTTCCCGCTGGAGCGGTACCTATTTATCTACTTGCACTTTGACATTGTGGGGATTCGAACCGCCGACCTTCTGATCAGCAAGTCCTAGGCTCTGTGGTTTAACCCACAGTGCCACCCATGTCCTTGGGGGGGAGTAATGCACTTTAAATTTAGGTGCTTTAAATATATGGTGTGGATCTGCCCTTTAACGTGATGAGGAAAGCTTGACTTTCTAACTTCCTGCTGCTGTTAAAAGACCTACAAACGTGTAATGGTTCTAGGGGTTGCTCGTGCGTAAGCCGGTGCTTATCTCCCCGGCTGGGTGCAAACACCTGGCTGGGTTGCCTAAGTGAACCTTTTCTGTCCGGACAGCCACTCACCCGTGGCTGACTCAATCGCTGGCAGAATCCATCAGTGGGCGTTTCTTAAACTTCTTCCAGCAAAGAAGCTCTTTGACGCCTAGTCTCCTCCTACTCTCTCTGCGCGAAAGCCTTCTGCGCAAGGAGGGTGTGGGCAACAGAGGACCCCTACTCTCCCCGCTGGTCCCAGGCAAGGAGTCATGGGACTGCCTCGCTGCTTCCCCCATCTGCCCCCCTTCTCCACTGGTGCTACGCTGATTCTCTTCCCCAGAAGATGGGCTGCTTCTCCCAATCCCTGGATGCTCTCTGGAATCCCTCTGGCTTTTGCTCTCTCCCTCCGGCACTTTTTTCCCTGACAAAACGGCATTATCAAAAATTAAAAATCTAGTGGCAATCCTACCTTAGAAGCTGCTTTTTAGTGAACTATTCCTAACTTAAATTGCATGTGCACTCTCGGATCTTTCTTTCGCCTTCCACAGTTTTGCTGGTTAGGAGCAATTTCAAACGAATTTGCAACGCTTACCAAGGGGACAGATTGCCACCTTCTGTGGAAAAGCTTGTGGGAGAAGGGAAATGCCAAAGGCCTCCCCCTCTCTCTTAGGAGGCGCCAGTTCCCAGCCTGGAAAGGGCTGGAACGCTGAAAGCCTTTGCTGTGTACAAGCCGGAAGGAGCTTTGTACAGAGTGGAATGCCAGACTTTCTCTGCTCTCCATCATGGTGCATTTGTGGTCGCCTTTGAAAATTCAGAAGAGGGAAATGTAGAGAAACTCCTTAACCCACTGAAGCTCTTGCCCCAACCCTCCTTCCACTCCTTGACCTATGATCAAAGTGAAACCCCGAAAAGCAGATTAGATTGCATTCATCATAGACCTATAAACACATGATGAAGGCAATGTGATGCTTTAAAGGGAAAGGGAAAGATTCACGCAACGCAAATCTGTATTGTTATCTTAAACTGAGATGGGCAACCCGCGTAAGGCCTGATAAAGACAAGCAGCTCAAGTTTATCTTTAAAAGGAAACCTTTTCGGAGTCTTTTAAAACACAGCGAGAACCTGAGGTACTAGCCCAAATCAGAGCACCTTACAATAAACTTACAAGAAACAACTTTGATTTGGGCTAGTTAATATCAGGTTCTGCAATGGACCTGAATTTGGTCTTCAGCCTTGCAGTTTTTAGTATGTTTTATTGTGCTTGTACATCATTGTAAACTGCCCTCAGAACTTGATTGAAGGCAGGGATTACAGTACTAGAAATAGAATTGTAGAGTTGCCTATGATAGCAGTGTTTTGCACCAAATGTACCTAACCTGCAGGTAAGACTCCACAAACTGAAAACAGAGTTGTTATTTGTACCTTTGTTACCCATGAAAATCTTTCAATCAAAAAAAATTTTTTTTAATTACTGTATACAAATACTCTAAACAACCCTTATCTGTATATAAAAAAGACAATAATTACGATAGCATATTCTCTCGGAAATTTAAATTCCAACCATTTACAAAGAGAATCGAACATTTCAACAAATATATCTGGTTGAGATACTTTCTCTGCCTGTCCAGTTAGGAGCACCACCATTTAAGACGGTTATTGATAAGCTGGAATGTGTGCAGAGGCGGGCAACCAAGATGATCGAGGGTCTGGAAACAGGCCTTATGAGGAATGGTTGAGGGAGTTGGGTATATCTAGCCTGGTAAAGAGGAGGCTGGGAGCTGTCTTCAAATATCCCAAGGGCTGTTGCATGGAAGATGGAGCAAGCTTGTTTTCTCCTGCTCCAGAAGGTAGAACCCAAAGCAATGGATTCGAATGATAAGAAAGGATGTGCCGACTACACAGTAGGAAGAACTTTCTGACTGTAAAAGCTGGTCAGCGGTGGAAAAGACTACCTTGGAAGGTGGCAGTGCTGTATTAAACCCTGTGGAGGCTCCTGGCAGTTGAAATCTCAAGCGGGGCGCATCACAAATTATCTCCTAATATCCAGAGGACGAGATTGTTGGATAGTGTTCGCGAAGCTACCAGCATGAGTTTGACCAAACTGCGGGAGGCAGTGGAAGACAGAAGTGCCTAGCGTGCTCTGGTCCATGGGGTCACGAAGAGTCGGACACGACTAAACGACTAAACAACAAATACGTTTTTGATTTTATAATTAATAAAAATAATTAATATTATTTTGATCTGTTGTTGCGGGGCCCCTAAAAGGCATGGGGCCCCATAGGCCACTGCCTGCTCTGCCTATTTGGTAATTCGGCACTGGAAGGCGGTGGAATGTTCTTCAGTGAAAGTTTTTTAAACATACGAGTGTTTAGCTGCAATTCCTGAGAACTAGATGACACTCAAGGTCCCTTCCAACTCTGCAATTCTTTGATTCTTCCTTGTGTACAAACAGAATGCTCAAATAGGGCTATGGTGAGTCACCACAGCAAGATGCATCGCCGAGTGGCCAATTGCATCTGGGTCTCCCAACCCCTAGATCAACTTTCCCACCGTGAAGCTTCCTTCCCACACCACACATGTGCTCAGGTATACACGGTCACCAAAGTGTTGGTGCTGACCTTTAAAGCCCTAAATGGCCTCAGCCCAGTATACCTGAATGAGTTTCTCCACCCCCATCATTCAACCCAGACACGGAGATCCAGCACCGAGGGCCTTCTGGTGGTTCCCTTACCGCGAGAAGTGAGGTTACAGGGGACCAGGCAGAGGGCCTTCTCGGTAGTGGCGCCTGCCCTGTGGAACGCCCTCCCATCAGATGTCAAGGAAATAAACAACTACCTGACTTTTAGAAGATATCTGAAGGCAGCGCTGTTTAGGGAAGTTTTTAATGTTTGATGTTTTATCACATGATGATGATGATGATGATGATGACAACGATGACGATGTTGGGAGCCATGCAGAGTGGCTGTGGAGGCCCAGGCAGATGGGCGGGGTAAGAATATTATTATTATTATTATTATTATTATTATTATTATTATTATATTAATGGGAGAGAGCAATAAAACTTCCTGAAAGACGCATGACGAAGCAGATTGACAGTTACTTTTCTCATATATATATATATAGCTCTATACCCTTTTTCATAAAAAATACGAAAGCAGCTTACAAAAGCTATGCACAAAATCAATGCAATTAAAAACATATTATTATTATTATTATTATTATTAAATCAGAGAACAGCTAACTCTTATGAGAACTAAGTCGGTACATCATGAGGCTCTTAATCTCAGGGCTGTGGGTTCAAGCCCCATGTTGGGCAAAAGATTCCTGCATTGCAGGGGGTTGGACTAGATGATCCTTGTGGTCCCTTCCAACTCTACAATTCTGTCTATTCTTGATTGCCTGCACAAACCTGGTGGAATAGAAAAAGTATTCAGCAGGCACTTGAAAGCTGAGGTAGAAGGGCCCCAACTCAATCTCTATTGGCAGAGTATTCCAGAAGACTGGACCGATGACACTAAAGGCTCCTTTTCTTGTTGCTGTCCGAATGAGCCTTGGCAGCCCAGGGAGTGACGAACAACACTCCTGCGGATGATCCTGCAAACTATGGCTTGCAATCCTGATAACAGGCATTTATTATTTTTTAAACACTTATATACCACTTTGTATTTTAAAAAATGCCACAGCAGTGTACAGAGACAACGACCTGGTTCATACACCACGCTTTGCCAAAGCATTGCAAATATACAAGTGTGAGGAATCCCAAAGAGGGGAGGGTGACTGCTACAATCCCTCTCCCTAATCTTCCTGCTGCTATGAGCTAAGCTATGGTTTGGTTTTATGTGTTGACCAAACCCGTACTTATGGTTTGTCTCCTCCAGACAAACCACAAGCTATACACCCAAGGGTAAACCTTGGTTACAGCTCACGAACTGTAAGGAGCAAGAGAAGCCTCGAACCCGGGTTCAGACAACCAGCTAAGCCAAACCATGGCTTGGTAGTACTGCAGCAGGACTGTGGCAAACGTAAAGCAGCAGCTGTGAGCTCTCCAGGAATCCTCACACTTGCATGTTTGCGTCAAACCATAGTTTAGCTTAGCGTTAGGTGCAAACGCTAAGCTAAATGTGCAGTTCAATAAAAACCATTCTAATGCACATTAGTGTTTTTATTGAATTGTGCAATTCAGTAAAAACCATACCACAAAACAGAAAAAAACCAAAATCATAACACAAAAATTCACAATCATATCCACTGTAGGTGCTGCTTTGTGTTTCCTATCCAATATTGATGGCCTGGGAATGCCTTGGCAGATAGATGAGTGTTAAACACATCCTGACAGCATAACAGAGTTGGCAAGTCAGCTACATTCCGCTCAGTGGGCCTTACTTCTGAGTCAACATGAAGTAGGGTGCTTCAGTGGCTTAATTTATTTTCTTATTTGTTAAGATTTCTGTTCTGCCTTATAGCCAGCGGCCCTGAAACCAGCATACAGTAAGAAGCTTAAAACAATAAAGACGGCGACCATAAAAACCATCAGAGCATTAGACAGAACACTAAAACCGGCTGGTTAAAAACGAATCAGAACAGCAGAAGGCAATTAAATGTGTCTCGACCCTTATTAAAAGTTATTATTTATTTTATTTATTTACTACATTTATATGCCACCTTTACCTTTCAAGGATGGGACGCGGGTGGCACTGTGGGTTAAACCACAGAGCCTAGGACTTGCCGATCAGATGGTCGGAGGTTCGAATCCCCGTGATGGGGTGAGCTCCCGTTGCTCGGTCCCTGCTCCTGCCAACCTAGCAGTTCGAAAGCACGTCAAAGTGCAAGTAGATAAATAGGTACTGCTCCAGCGGGAAGGTAAACGGCGTTTCCGTGCACTGCTCTGGTTCGCCACTGGTTGTTTTTTCCACCATTTTGGCAGGGTGGCACTGAGGGTTTGCTGTTGCTAAGCATCATTACAGAAATCATGTTTGATTCTTGGAGAACTATGTTCTTCCTGGTCTTTATGTAAATGAGAATAAATCATAACTACAGCAATGATCTGAAAATTCAATAGTCATTCTGGCCACATGACCCAGAAGCTGTATGCCGGCTCCCTCGGCCAATAAAGCGAGATGAGCTCCACAACCCCAGAGTCGGTCACGACTGGACCTAATGGTCAGGGGTCCCTTTACCTTTCAAGGATCTCAAGGTGGCGCCCATGGTTCTCCTCCTCCCCATTTCATTCTCACAACAACCCTGTGAGGTAGGTGACTGGCCCAAGGTCAACCCAGTGAGCTTCATGGCTGAGTAGAGGATTCGAAGCCTGGTCTCCCAGGTCGTAGTCCAACACAACAACAATTATGCCACACTTTGGAGGCACAGACAGCAGGGCAGAGTTGGGCTGTAGCTAAGAAGGGCACTGGTGTACCTGTGTAGCAGAGAATTGTAGAGACGGGAGGGACCACAAGGATCGGCCAGTTCCAGTCCAACCCCCTGCAATGCAGGACTCTTTCTCCCCATGTGGGGCTCGAACCCACAACCCTGAGATTAAGAGCCTCGCGCTGAGCTATCCCTCAGGGAGTTTTGCAACAGGAAAGCCACCACTGGAAAGGCTCTGTCTCCAGCAGGGATGGGAAGCTTTCTTCAACACATCCCCTTCCTGGCAACTTTCCAAGGGCTACATGACAGAGGTGGGCGGGGCCAGAGGCAAAAGCGGGCGGAGCAACAAATGCAAATGTTACCTTTCCCAGCAGGCACTGGGACACCCTCACAACTGTCACAGATGCTTCCACTGAGTTTCCTGCATTGCAGCGGGTTGGACTAGATGACCCTTGGCATCCCTCTCAACTCTTACATTTCTGTGATTCTATACCCTCCATCCTGATATGCAAGATTTCAAGGAGAGAAACATTTAGAGCGCAAAGCAGAACCAGCAAGGCGGAAAAAGGCTGGCTAAAGTTCCTGAAAGGCTGCATCTGGCCCACTCCCAGAGGTTCCCCAACCTGGTGCCCTCCGGATATTATGAACAACAGGCCCCATCAGTGGCCTCTAGCTACACCAGCGCTCAGGGATTATGCAGGTTGTAGCTCAAAGCATCTAGAGAGCGCCACGTTGGGGAAGGCTGTGGCACAACACGCTGGGAAGGATTTTGGAGGCAGATTCCAGCTGGCAGGCAGGTTCATATTTGCCGGACGAGTGAGGCTTGGAGTTATTCTATTTCATATTACAATTTTTCATTTTCATTTTTTTTAAAGCAGCCACCCCCTTGGTTTTGCACTATAAAATTTCACCTGCCTTTTAGGTTTTGCTCTTTGCTGGGGGGGTGCGGGGGGGGCTCACAGCCTGGGTATCAACGATATTTTGTGTTCTGTTTATTTTCCTTCCCAAAGGCCTTTGAGGAGCCAAACAAAGGCTACCACATGCAGAAACTTCAGCCCTTCAAGGCTGCCTCTCTCTCTTTTTTCCTCCTTCCCCCGTGTGGAAAAAATTGTCAGATGTTGACAAATTCTTTCCCTGAGCCTCCACCCCCCCTTCCTTCCTCCTCTTTTCTTTTTGGAAGGGGAGGGGGAAAGGAAAGACAGGTTTTTTTTGGGGGGGGGTAGAGAGACGGAAGGAAGAGAGCGAAGCCTCTTTCACTTTGGAATCAAATGTTAAGACAGCTTTGGAAAATATGCCATTGGCCTTCGATGCCTCCCTTTGCCCAGTGGGTGGATTGGACGGGTACATTATTTTGAGGGTTCTCTCTCTTTCTCTTCCACCCCACCCCAGGCATTTGAAACCTCCTCCAGGGTTTTCTTTCTCCTTCTCTTTCTTCCCCTGAATATTTGTTCTGCAGTACCATTACAAAAAGAAAGAAAGAAAGAAAAAACCCCATCTCCCTTCTTCCTCTTCTTCTCCTCTGCCTCGTGTGGAAATGTGCAGGGGAAAGTTGCCTTCATTTATAATAAGGTGGAAGGTTCTGTGTACGGTATTTCTCTCTCTCAACTCCACGCCACCAGACAGGAGAAGCAATTTGCTTTTTTTCTTTTTTTCAAGGAAAAAACCCACACAACTCCAGCAATTTAGATGACTTTGCCTATCCGCGCACCCCGCCTTTCTCTGTAAAGAAGCAATAGCTCCCACTTTACACGCAAGAGAAAGGTTTTGGGCATTTGAAAAAAGAGAGAAAAAGGGGGGGGGGAGAGGAAACAATGCAATAACATCTTTCCACGCGCGCGAGTGGGGCGAGGGCACCCGTCGCACCACAGCGAGCGACTTCGTAGTATTATCTTAGTTTCTTTGTATGGAGATTCCATTCAAACTGTTCAGCGTGTCACCAGTAACCTTCCGCCAAAGAGGAGGAGGGGGAGAAAAAATAGTCCCAAGCTACTCGTCACCCTTCTGATGGGTGCGGAGGTGGGGGTTGGGGGGGGAATATATGTGAGCACGAGAGAGAAATTGCTTGCAACTCGCTTTTTTTTTTTTTTTTTTGCTGCGGCTACGCCACCCTTTTATATTTTGCACCCAAGCTCCCTGTTCCCCTGAGCATGGCTAGAGTGCATTTGCCAACACTGCCCCCAAACTCCCCTTTTTAATTTTTTTTTTTTAAATTGCAATCTTTCTTTTCCTCTTTTCGCTTCAGTCAAGACACAGTGTAGCCTTGCAACGAGCCTTGCCTCATTGGGCGCAGAGATTGCGAAGGGAACGCTCTCTCTCTCCCCCCCCCGCCTTCTCCACCTAACCTGAGCAAACGGAAGCGCCGGGCCGGCTTTGACGGGCGGCTCGGCGGAGCCAATGGCGTGGCGGGGAGGCTTCCCAAAATGTGTGGGCGGCCAATGGGCTGCGCAGGGGGGCCGGCTCGCGGGGAGGCTAGCAGCTCAGGTTGACAGTGACTAGTCCCAGTGCAGGGAAGTGCAAGGAGGGAGAGAGAGAGAGAGAGGAGGGGATGAGCTTCAAAGTTCGAGGCTTCCTCTCATTGCAGGGAATTTCCCCCCTTCTTCTTTGAAGGAAGGGGAGAGGAGAGAAGGGAGATTGCAATAAAAGCAGCCTCTGGGAAAAAGCTTTGCAATTGCAGCTTGCTTCCCCTCCCCTTTCTTTGCAAAAAAAGGGGGGAGGAAAAAATAAAAGAAAGCAGCAAGCTCGTCTTCTGCTATTCCCCCTTTTTCCTCCCTCTAAATTCTGACTCTTTGCTTTTCACCTTCTCTCTATCTCTCCCACTCCCCCAACCACCCTTCACACTCCTCCTCCTCCTCTTCTTCTTTCCTATTTATTTATTTTTTTTGCCTCCCCCCCAACCCCAACCCCCAATGCCAGCCATGATAGAGAAGGGCCCGGAGATCTCAGGCAAAAGAA